GAATCTGACATACGAGTTCTGTGTACACTGCCACAAATTCAGATTACATGAGAAAATCATTTAATGAGCCTCACAGTAACAAAACTAAAGTGTGGATTATCTCTGGAGCAAGGCAGAACACAGCACAACCTAATGGCAGCTTATCACTTATGCAACCCCGTGTGGAAAGTTGCCAATTCCGGCAGGCAGGCAGAATGGGCGGAAGAAGTGGACGATGGTTTGGTAACCATAAGGTGAATGGGTGAGTAGCTCCTAGCAAGCACACCCACCATCTGATGTCCGCCCGATATCCGCAGTGTTTTCAGAGTCTCGGAGCACAACCTCTGTCACTAGGCACCATTAAGGAAATATAGGCACAGGCAAAAACAGAACAAAATAGTTCAAGTGGAGTTTTAGTTGCAAGACAACTGATTAGTTATTTCAATGCCAAGAAAATCACAATGGATGTTGAGACTTTGTTGCTTAATGTTAAATTCTAAAAATTAAGAAAGGGCATTATATGACTAATGAAGTATTTAGCATTCTCATTTACTTGGGAAATTATTAAAATTTTAGTACCGAAGCATCATTAAAATCAGCCTTTTTACATCAACTGCTCCAAGCTTTAAATTTGTTGTATTTTCTTAACTCCACTTGCCATACTAATCACATACACTATGCAAACTTAATATTTAGGCATAGTACAAAAACATTGTGAAGCAACATGCTACATGAGCAACATGCCCAATGCTCTGCCATTCACAACCAAGCCATACTATACTCTCACTACACGTGTCTACTCAAGTTGTGGCAAAACTGCCTACAGTTAAGATCTAAAAGGCAATTGTATCCTAAAGAAATTCCCCCAATGACTTTTAAACATTTCAATACAATTAGGCATGGTGCTCTATGTAAGCTGTGAGACATTTACTTCTAAATAACTGCCAAACACCCCACATGTCCACAACAAAATCAATCGATAAAATCAAACGTGCATTACTGAACACGATGTAAAAATATAGGTGTGCATAACATCACAAACTAGAGGTCAAAATACATGCTCAATTGGCTGTGTTAGAACTTACCTTCACGTGGAGCGTGGACGTCCCTCTTCAACAGTGTTCCAACTTTCATAAAGTTCAAAATTCCTTACCTCACTCGCTGCATCTACTCTGTCACTAAAAATGATTAGTGAAAACCACTGAAACAATATTTTTAGTAAATAAATTTTTCATTATATCCGGAATCAAGCCTACGATGATGGCTTCAGAGATGGACCTAAGAAAATTTGAATTCAAGTTTTTTTTTTTACAATTGATAAATAACAATCTTCAATTAAGACAAGATGCTCATCTTTTAATATCAGCCAAATTAGAATCTATGTTGCAATAAGACAAACCAAGCTCAATATATCTACTTGCAAGCATTGTTAAGATGACATTAAAAACTCTTAGCAATCCATGTATCTCTACTGCAATGGCAAGAAAATGCAATGAATCCAGTACAAATAGAGAACATGCAATTATGAAACTAACGACCTTCATACCTAACCATCAACTCATCACTGCCACGGCTCATCAGGCATCATCATAATGCGCATCATGGGGGACAGATCAACATGCACCACCCTCCCTAACAAAGCTGCAGTGAACAAAGCCTTAACCTACATTGAGATTTAGCAAATTATTAACAAAAAACTGTTCCAAGTATCAGCACTTTGATTTTTTTTTTATCTAGCTACTATTAGATAATTTAAAAGAAAATATCTTATATTTTTCATCAAAGCTATGTAGTCAATAAATTTTTAAGTTAATTATTCTGGTTTTACTAAAGTTATTGCTAAGTGCATTTTGAATGCTAATGTGCTTTTTACCATATGTCAACACAGGGTACAGAACCTACACAAGTAGGTATCAAAAAGAAGGCACCAAACTTGGAAAACCTACAAGAATAGGTATTCAGGGGCATATTTTACCTGACAGGTGCTGTAGATGCCATTGCCAAACTGCCTGTGCCTGTTAACTAATTTAATGCACACAGGCACTTTATCCAAGCAGGAATGCCATATTAACGTACCTTCTAGTTGATAACTTGGGAAGGAATTGTTAATTCCAGAGATAAGGTCAGATTTTTGGCCAAGTTCTACTGAATTTAAGTACTGTAATTATCAAAAGAAGGCACCAAGCCAGGGAAGACTATGTTGCACCATCAAAGTAGCAAGAAATTTAAAAGGTGTTAAATATCACCAAGGATGCCAATACGAGAACAAATGAATAAGGCAAACGATATCAAAAGCATCCAATTCACCGAGAATTCTATCGAGGGACAAGCGGCCGCGAGCAGTAGAGTTAAGGCCCCAACAAAAGCTGGAGGGGAACAGAGAAAGGAATAACTGCAGAAGCAAACAGGACGAGTGCCAAGCATCAGTTTGAGGAAGGGGCACCCGTCTTTACTCCTGATTAACCTATGCCCCCCTCGCACCTTGAAATCAGGGTGGGGGGGGGGGGATGATATACATAGGTAAATCAAGCAAAGACAGCCAAGTCAAGGGGGCAGGAGGGGGACAAAGGCAGACAAAGTCTGGAGTTGGAGGCCTCAGAGGGGCATGGTCACGGGAACTGGGAAGGACAAACAGTGGAGCATACTTTATCAAAGACAAGTGTCAGAGGGAGAATCAAGGGCAATGGGAATCTCCATAGTGAGGTCAGTCAACTGCCACACACATGGAAGACGCAGGAACAGAGCTGGAGGTGAAAAGCAAGGAAAGTACCAATGCCTTCTTACCTGCTGTGGAGAAAGATGGAGAGGAACCAGGTTTACACTTCTGACTGAGATACTGGCACGCCAGTAGCAACATACTGTGCCTCCACAGTCTCAGCAGGAAAGGAAGAACAAGAGTGGACAACACAAAGATGACCAGGAGGAGGATGGACATAAGCCAGGAGGGGCAGGAGTTGTGGAGGGCTGAGAAGACGGGATTGGGAAGGCAAGGCTACAAGGAACAGGAGGAGGAGGAGGAAGAGAATCACTGAACTGAACAGCAGGATAAGACTAGGAGGGGAGGGTGATAACTGTTGGGAAACTGAGAAAGATTCTCAGGGTCAGAAGACAGATAAGCGGAAGACTGGTGGAATTATCTGGGTCTAAGGCCTAGAAATGATTGTGGAATCAAGAAAGGGGCAAAGGGTGATGTGGAGAAGTGTGATGCAATACACGAGTGTAAGTCATATCGGGGAAAGAGTTAAGGCATCAAATCTGGCATCTCGCCTCGGAAAGAAGAAGCCGATCGCTATGTTGTAAATTGAGAATGGCTTCCTCAAATTTGTAGTGGATGAACGAGCGGGAGAAGGCAGAGTGGGCATCACCACAATTGATGCAGCGAGGCTGGAAAGAGTACTATTAGAATGACCTGGAACTCCCCACAAGGGACACCTCGCTAGAGCATCACAAGACACCATGTCCAAATTTCCAACACCTATTGTAGAGGGCGAGGAGAGGGTTATGTACTCCTGAATGGAGCATCTGGTACTGTATCTGCAAGGATAATGGAAAATGGAAGGGGCCTACCATTAAATGCAATTTTTACTACCCGAAGAGGCTGACAATGACAACCATGAGAAGGTTGAGTGAGCATATGAATCTGGAGGACAGAATGGCTTTTTGACCTCGAAAATATACTTAATATCCTTGTGGCAGTCTGGGTTCTTTCTCTCTACTCACAACATGGTGTAGGAGAATGACTGTGCCAATGTTGGCATTTAACCGAGCATTTAGGAGACACAAACTGGGGTCTGACCAATACAGGACAATACTGCTATAATATGTTATATTTACACATGTATGGCTATATTTAAAAGTTATATAAGTTTTGACTTTCAAAATACGCAAGAATTCCTGTGCTATTGTTTCCATCATAAACAATGCAATAATTATTGTAAAAAATGGCAGAAAAAGCAAAATTCCAAAGCAATTTTGTTAAAGGAAAGATCCAGTATAAATGTGTGTTCATCCCAGTGGAGATACACTGTGCCAAAACCCTAGCTTAAGCTTTCTCCTTCCTCAAAGATTCAACTAAAAAATATTGGTACTAGTTTTTGAAAATGCAAGGCCTCATATCAAGATGTTAACACTACTGTATACAGTAGTTACAATGAAGGACAAGTGGAAGACTCGCTCAAGGCTTCATTATATAGCTGTCTGAGAAATACAAATAAACCATTATGGATGAGACTAAGGCCTCAAAAGTATTCTCAAATATTATCAACAAATATTTAAGAAGCATGTTGTTATTAACTTTGAACTAAAGCAGTTAGACCAATTTGCACGCATAAGCATAGCTCTTTAGATCATACATAGCTGTAGCCTTCACCATTTAGAATCGGGAAGAAAAAATAAAGAATTGTTAATGCTGTTAAATATTAATCACAAACCACTAACAAACATTTAGTTCAACAGATAGAAATTCCCACCTAAAGCCAAACTGTTTAACATCTACACTGGTTTCATTACCAAATTCAGACCTGTTGCACCCAGTTATTTGCTATGCACATCCATCCACCTTTTCCAAAACATGAACAATTAAGACCCAATCCTAATTTCTTACAAGTGCAAAATACAGTGCTGGAAAGGTGAGATTTCACTTTGAGAAACTAATAGGTATTTGCTCCCAACTTTCCATGCCACTTTCATTGGATGACGTAACTAATTACATTGTTCTTATTGTTGACCAGACCACACAACTAGAAAGTGATGGGACGACGATATTTCGGTCCGTCCTGGACCATTCTCAAGTCAATTGTCACAATCTACTTGAGAATGGTCCAGGACAGACCAAAACATTGTTGTCCCTTCACTTTCTAGTGTGTGGTCTGGTCAACATACTTCAGCCACGTTATTGTGACTCATCGCCTGCGCATTGTTGTTATTATTACATTTAAAATGTCCAAAAATCTTTAGAGAAATTAAAAAGTGCATTTGTTTAATGTGTGTAAAATTTAACCCGTGTACCATAAAAAGGATACTATCAACCTTCTTGTTTTCGGTAGATTCCATCCCAGGCAAAGCTGCAGCAACTCGCCTGAACAGCTGAAAAATAAAAAGGTTGTCATTAGTAAGGAGAAAATGAACATAATGAAATTATAACAAAAATATAATGTTAATTATAAATAAAATTCTTAATAAAAAATAAAAAGGTTTAAACTAGCTTAGGAAATATTTTCCAATGATTGAGGTGGCAACCATTTATGCAAGGCACTAGCTAGTCTTGGGCCTTGGCAAGACAACAAGAGACCCTTCTCATACCATATCAATTACCACAAGCTCAACTCTGCCCTCTTCCTCGACACAATCTGCCTCCTCGAGCTGGGAAGTCAGCATTCTACCACTACACCATGGTGTATCCTTAAAAAACATATATTTATAAATAAAAATGGAGTTACAAATATGAAAACCTTGCTGTGATGCAAGAGAAGCTGTAATGTACTTGTGTTCTCAAAGGCCAGGCACTCCAAAAATTGCACTTTAAGTCCGCCAGCAGGTTATCTTGACAGCTTCCCTCCAAAATCGACAACTGTCACATGCATCATTTATCACATTTACAAGCCAGCAAAAACTCTCCCCCCTACCCTTCATTAACCTCAATACCACCTGATGAAGGAAAATGGCTTCCCCTGCATCAAAGCAGATTTTCTGTATATATGATGTATATATACAGTATATTCATATCCAGGTGTACACACACCTTTGTGCATATGCATGCATGTGCATATAAATGTTCAGGTATAGCCAATTCATGCATACAAATATGTACCAAGATAGTAAGCCTCTTAGGCTCTACTATTGAAGGGCAGTATAGGACATCATTCTCCAATTATGGTCCTTTTGCAATAATTGGAAAGTAGTGCTGCAATTTCTCGATCTTTCCTTTCAATAACCTCATTTGCCCTTCTTTACTAAACCTTTTTCCTTGATAGTACCTCCAGTGCCTTCTCCAGGCAAATGCTTCAATTGTCAGCAACTTGAACCACCATGACAAATTCAACAAAATTTCTAACAAGTCATTTTAGGTATTGAACTGCTGATAGTAAAACAAAGCCACCCTCTTATAGAAAGTGTCGAGATATACAGCCAATTCTGCCTCTCTTCCCTTTCCCACATGTAATGTTAACATTACAAAAGGTGCCGAGAGAAAAAGCACCGAAACATTACTGTATATACACCATGCATTATACATTTAATGTGACAAACAGAACTATGAGGTCAAGAAACCCAAACATTACTTCAAACATGTTAAAATTAATATGCTGCTCAGCTGCATGACCATAAAGACATGGACATTTGCTACTTTTCACCACGAAGAACAAGGCAAAACCCAAAAGTTATTTAAACGGTTAGTTTTCCTTGCACAATGCCTGCAATATTGTTTGTAATCCTGCCTGCCTCCAGTGAAGTAAATACTTGAACGTGACAATAGTTTCAGACTCCCGATAGTTTACATTCACTATCATTACTTCATTTGCCACTTGCATTGGGTGGAGAGGCATCAGTTGAGAAAAATAAAGAGGGGAATAATAATGGAAAAATGGGTTTAGATAAAATAAAACCCTACCACACATTATAAAATTCACACAATTCTATCGATAAAGATGACAAATAAAATGACAACCTCAACACTACAGTGGCCACCCACAGCAGCACCCACCGCTTCACAAGACCAGGGAGTCGGTGCTCATGATTTTGTCATATACCACACACACTCCAGTAGACAGACATTCATTCCTACTTTACAAACTGCTGCCATCCAGCATTGTCCCTTGAGGTTATCTCGAGATGATTTCGGGGCTTTTAGTGTCCCCGCGGCCCGGTCCTCAACCAGGCCTCCACCCCAGGAAGCAGCCCGTGACAGCTGACTAACACCCAGGTACCTATTTTACTGCTAGGTAACAGGAGCATTGGGTGAAAAAAACAAAACTGCCCATTGTTTCTCACTGGCGCCTGGGATCGAACCCAGGACCACGAGTCCAGCGTGCTGTCCGCTCGGCTCCCTGCTTCCTTATTCATTACATCCATCAACACTCATTCACTACATCCATCCAGCCATCAACACCTTGCTTTCTCTCTTCTAACCTCAAATTCACCCGATATACGTTTCTTACCCATCTTCTATCACTAATTCAATATGACCACATCATCTTGGTGCACTCTTAACTCTTCAACTGTATCAACTTTTGTACGCCACATTCTGCAGTGAGGTTTTTATTTCTTACTATCTACTCTTGCCATACATAAACCATTTTTCACATTCATGACACTTTTCTCACACCTATGTACAAAGGTTGGCATTAGCACTCAAGTTCTCTGCCTCCATATATTTATTTTTGTCAAACCAGAATTTCCACTTCAGCATCACTTGATGCAACATTATTAGTTATACAAAACTAGCTCACAAATTATTGCTATAATAAACATGGGCATTAAATCAAGAAAATTCATCATAAATTTAATTTTCATGCTAATCACATCGTTTCAACAATATTCAGTAGTCTTACCTGCTTCACATTGTATCCTGCTTTTGCACTAGTCTCAATGAACATCACATTAAGTTCCTTCGCCTTTCGTTCACCTTCTTCAGTAGAAACCTAAATAAAATAAAATAACACTAGACTTGGCTGAACTGCATCTGAGAAACAAGGTTATATATACTGTACAGTACTAGGTTTCCTATCCCAACACATCTTTAGTCAATTTTTTTACCCAATTCTATATTTCGCCCATCATTTCCTCCCTGGCACCAACTGAGCAGCATTCAGACTGATCAACTGCAGGTTATTTTAACACTTTCGCGTTCCACAGACTGAATAATTCGTCACTCATTTTTCTACTGAATGTGTTCCAACGACGCAATACTGAGTCACTCATTACAATATTTTTTAAAAATTTAAATTTTATCAGATCAATCTGGTAGTGGTTTTAAAATAAGCGCCTTTAGATTGCACACAATTTGATACCAAAATCAAAGATATAACATGAAACTTGATGTCCAAACACTTGAAATATTATAAATAGGTCTATGGTCTGAATATTAAAATATTTGTTAAAATTCTATTTATTGTCCTATTATCTTGGGACTTGTTTTAAAATGTGCGCCTTTTTATTGCGAACAATTTGATACCAAAATGAAAGATGTAACACAAATATTTATGTCAGAACACTGGAAAGATATAAATAAATTTGTGATGATGAGCGTCCAGAATTAAAATATTTGTTAAAAATCCAGTTATTGCTCTATTATTCTGGGACTAGTTTTAAAATAATCGCCTTTTTATTGCGAACAATTTGATACCAAAATGAGCGACGTAGCACGAAATTTGATGTTATCAAATTGAACGAGTTGAACATTAGGTTGCAATGTACAAAATGGTGCTCGTTCATGGGTAACTTTAGGCTTTTCTGCGGGGAGGCACTCCAGCCTTTTGTACATTTTATTCATACACATCTGTAGGGAATTTAATTGCGAACACAATGATACCAAAATGAGCGACGTAGCACGAGAATTAAGGTAAAAAAATGGAACGAGAATGCACATGTTACTGATTTTGTGCGTTTTTGCCGACTTTACGCTTTGCTGTTGGGAGTCACGCTAGGCTTTTGGACATTATATTTATACACACCTGTAGAGAATTTAATTGCGAACACAATGATACCAGAATGAGCGACGTAGCGCGAGAATTAAGGTGAGAAAACTGGAACGAGTATACACATTTGAGTGTCACCGCGCGCTTACCCGCACGGAGGGGCCACGATCCCCCTGTCAACCGCGAGTTTCCACGGAGCGCGAAAGTGTTAAAAGTATTAGCATCACGGTAGTCATTAAGTAACTGTAGAAGTGTAAGATTCCTGGTACCTGTTACAATGTCCAAAGACCATAGTAGTCTTGTCTTGTCAAAGGCACCTGCCATAGTATATACTATATTTAGTCCAATGCTCAGAGTACTATATTTGACAAACAAGCCACTCTCCAAAACTATAGCTTACCAAGACATCCCCATTTGCACTTACATCTAGCACACACTTCTTTCCAACAACAACTCTCCATTTATCCCCCATCTCTATAGATGTAGAGATGTCTGCCTCATCTATAGAAATGAATTGTAACCTTATTTACACTTCCATGAAAAGCCGATAATAACTCGAATTGGCTCGTGAATTCAACTGCATTGGTCCGGTGATCAACGAATGACAATCACTGACCATTAAAAAGTTAACATCCCCCAAATTGATATTTTAGCCTAAAGTCTCCTAATATCTTGAGTTTTGTTTTAAACTAGAATAACTTTTATTACAATGTTAATCAACTGAAAAAACAGAAAACATTGGATTAATTTATGTATTATATACTCAAACTTTAAAATGTGACATTACAAAAAAAAAATCTATCGTTGAATAGTATGCAACATCAGGGAGATGTCAAAGTATATGGCTATACTGTAAATCTACTTAACTTCTGTAATTCATTTTTCTTTTAATATTGATCACATTTAGAATTCAAATATTTCATTCAAGATTGGAATACCTTTCTAAGCATCACTGGCCTTGACTTTATACAAACTGCTAAAATATTGGGAGTTTTAGCAGAGATAATTAACTTGAGATTATTATAACTGCAGACATCTGCTCTTATCAGTTTCAAAAATTAAAACAATTTTACTTATTGCCACATCTGCTACATTAATAAACATGGTCAGAATTGTGTGTCTTTTAAGAACATCACTTCAGTCATTAGCAGCCTAAGGGTTCCTAGCACTCACCTGTCTTTTATCCGACAAATCCGTCTTATTTCCTACTAGCATGATGATCACGTCACTACCGCGCTCCGTTCGAACATCGTCTATCCATTTGGATGTCTGGTGGAATGAATTAGCATCTGGAAAGAGATGAACAATGTTTTTTCAATCAAATTAGAAAAAAAAGAGTTGCCGAGTTGAATACGCAGCAGTACTGTCCTTATGGGGCTTACGGCAAGACACAGCAAACTGAAAAGCTAATCGGAATGTTTAACCAAGAAGTGTGAGGGCATGAGCTTCTTTCTACTCATCCTTGCTTAATAAATGAGAGGAGCAGAGTGCTAAAAGCATGCAGCTGTCTGCCTGCCTGTACCCATGGCTGTCAACATACATGCCTGCCTACAAGCACTGTATTCCTCCTTTGTTCAGATGAATCATCAGTTTTGCATCTTGGCAAGCACTGACACAGTATCCTCCTTTGTCAGTGTTATGTTATTGATAGGCAGCAAAATAAAGATATTGAGAGTATTTACAAACTTTGCAATACGTTTTTTCTGTAAATGATTTCTAGTTACAAAAAGGTGTTCATGAACATTACATATTAACTAAATACATACTGTGACATTAGATTACACTTCCAGATAAAAAGATAGACTTTCACTTACTAGTTATGTCATAAACAACAACTGCAACTGTGGAGTCACGAATATAAGACGGAATAAGACTACGGAATCTTTCTTGTCCTGCCGTGTCCCAGAGTTGAAGCCGAACCTGCAAAGCAAACAAGTCGCTATCTATTAAATGTGAAATACTGTATTAATAAGATCACACACCCATCACCTGTTGAGAGAGATCAAGAAGTTACTGCTATCCCACTTTCCCAGATATTTGTATAATACCAAAAATTTTATTTAGTGAGCTTAAATGAACCAAGAATAACTAATGGTTTAGGCCTATCTAGACTACTTTAAGTACCATTATCGAACTAGATAAGATTCATATGATTTAGTGAGGCAGGTATCCTTTGATTACGTATCCAAGCATTTTTTTCCTAACTACTATACGATATTCTTTATATATACAGTACAGAATATAAAAAAAAGGATAATGTACTGTACAATATTACATTTTAATATTCGGCAACACATTATACTGCTACGGAATATTATACTCTATAATCACTTAATAATTATACAATGTGCATAAAGTACAGTTCCCTTATATGAATAAATTGATTCATCAGAACAAGTACTATTGACAGGATAAGTACATTTTAATTTCACGAGAGATTGAGGGAAATATTAACTAAATATGCTAACAACAATACAAGAAAAAAATTCAGATTTAATATTTTATGTATAATAAGGTTAATTATAATATCAGGTATTTTCAACAGGAGATATGTCAACTGTTGGAAATCATAGGGAATTATCAATCCTCTTGAATTTCTGTAGTATTCCAGAATATTCAATGCCAAAGACTTGCATACTAAGAGAGCAAACACTACTTACCGTTCTATCCTCCAAGTACATTGTTTTGGAGAGGAAGTCGATACCAATTGTTGCCTGAGGAGAGAGAGATCTCGGTCAGTACATTAACAACTAAGGATGAATACAAAAATATTGATTATGAAATTGAAAGCATAAAATATTTCAAGATTCAGGAAAATAGCACCTCACTAAATATGACCTCTTATGCAAGGATACAGAAAGGGTACAGGAATTAACTACTGTAATATAGGTGTATTTGTTCAACCTGCTATTTTACAGGGTAGGTTTGAGTAAATACTGTGCAAATTTGTTCGGTCTCCCCTGCAGTGGATTGCTTCAAAATTTCCCCAGTTATCAGTAAACACTAATTACAAATTTTGTGCAAAGGAGGTAATTTATTTGACACCAGTACATCTAGTGCAGGAAAAACACTGCTGCAAAAAATAAATATTGCTCCCACAAGTAAATCTTCCCCCACACACGCCCTCTTCTGGTGTTAGCACAAGATCCAACACTGCTGCAAGTGTCCACTGGGAATGATGGAAGATTACTATAGTACTATTAGTTTCAAATACAGGTGTCAAGTTTACACTGATCTTATGCCCAATGTTATTTCGAAAGGCTGGAGGCCATTAATTTCCATTGTTGGGGACTGGAAGCCTGTACACGTAACTACACACACACATACTACCTATACACAGAAGAATTGACAGGGGCAAACCAAAACTATTTAGCATGGGCACAGGGTTACAAACTGGTACATCATAGCATAATGTCATAGTAGCAACATGTATGGAGATTTTGTGAATGAACTCTTGCCTTCACCATTCTACCCCCCCCCTCCCCCCCACTCTACTCTCTTCACTAATGAAAACCCACCCAGCCTCCCTTTTCCCCTCACAAAAACCCACAACCCTGGTTCTGCAGCAAGCACCGTTTTCTTCCCCCTCCCCACCAATAAATAACCCTGGCTTCTGGACCAAATCTCTGTAAAAGCTTTCCTGCTGAAATTGCCATTTGACGACCAATCGGGTATCTAACCAAGGGTCCGGATATACAAAAAATGCTCGGTCATGGGCACACCGAGATGAAACGCTGAAAGGGGGAGTGGCAGGAACAGCAGCATGTATGCGAGGCAGCCGAGGGGACAGGGAAGATGGGTAAGATAGGGCTGTGAGGAGGAGAGGTGGGGAGGATGGGTGGTGAAAATAAGATGGTGGGGGTAGGGAGGGGCTGACATGTTGGTAATGCTTTTGGTAAGCCTTTTTTGGGGGGGGAGTAAAGAGGATGGAGTGACAGGTGAAGAGAAAGTTTAGAAATGGGAAAGACAGTGTGCTTTATGTTAGCAGGCGGGCTGTCTGCCTTGCTGACACTAGGGCAGAGGATGCAGGCCACCTGGGTGTGGGTGCAACCAGGGGCAGGAGAATCTGGAGAAAACCTCAGAAGAAAGCCTGAGCAGCAATAAAATTACATTGGTGATCCTACACACACAACCCCCCCCCCCCCCACACACACAAAAGGGGGTTGACTCAAAGCTCAACCCTCGCAAGCACAACTAGGGGAGTACACCCCCCCCCCTCACATACACACACATTACGGGGTCTGACAGCTGAGTAGACAGTGCTTTGGATTGGTAGTTCTGTTATGTGGTTTCAATCCCCAGTGGAGGCAGAAACAAATGGGCAGAGTTTCTTTCACCCTGATGAAAGAAGTTACCTAGCTGTAATTAGGTACCTGGGAGTTAGACAGCTGCTACAGGCTGCTTCTTGGGTGTGCATTCGCGTGTGTGCGTTTTTATGTATGTGTTTTTGTGCATGTGCACTTGTGTGTGTGCATTTGTGAGTGTTGTGTGTTCTGTGCATGTGTATTTTTTGGTGCGTGTGTGTTTTTGCATGGCATGTGTGTGTTTTTGTGCATGTGTGTGTTTTGTGTGTGTAATTACCTAAGTGTAGTTACAGGACGAGCGCTACGGTCGTGGTGTCCCATCTACCCAGCACTGTCATAACGCTTTGAAGCTAAAAAAGCTTCAATCATATAAAGCTTTGAACCTGTGTGTGTGTGTGTGTGTGTGTATTTGGGTTGTGTGGGCGTTTTATTGTATTTGTGTGTGTGTATGTTTTCTGTGTATTTGTTTTTTCTGTACGTGTTTTTCTAGTGCTTGCGTGTTTTTCTAGCGCTTGCGTGTTTGTCTAGCGCTTGCGTGTCTTTCTAGCGCTTGCGTGTCTTTCTAGCGCTTGCGTGTCTTTCTAGCGCTTGCGTGTCTTTCTAGCGCGTGCGTGTCTTTCTAGCGCGTGCGTGTCTTTCTAGCGCGTGCGTGTCTTTCTAGCGCGTGCGTGTCTTTCTAGCGCGTGCGTGTCTTTCTAGCGCTTGCGTGTCTTTCTAGCGCTTGCGTGTCTTTCTAGCGCTTGCGTGTCTTTCTAGCGCTTGCGTGTCTTTCTAGCGCTTGCGTGTCTTTCTAGCGCTTGCGTGTCTTTCTAGCGCTTGCGTGTCTTTCTAGCGCTTGCGTGTCTTTCTAGCGCTTGCGTGTCTTTCTAGCGCTTGCGTGTCTTTCTAGCGCTTGCGTGTCTTTCTAGCGCTTGCGTGTTTTTCTAGCGCTTGCATGTTTTTCTAGCGTTTGCGTGTTTTTTTAGCGTTTGCGTGTTTTTTTAGCGTTTGTGTGTTTTAGTGTATTTATAGTGTGTTTTTTAGCAGTCAGGTGTATGCAAGGAAAAAGCAAACAAACTAACCTAGTCTCAACACTAGTCAAGATCACATTCACTCCAAACCTCACCACTTACTCGCTACTCCTGCCCGTGCCATCTCTGGAGTGGCTTAATCTCCATCAATCAACGCAAGTCGGTTCGTTAGTGTTGGCCAGATGGAGTTACAGCCATTACAGTTATTGCTGGATTTAGGAAGCAGCAAGACAGTGGCGCTTGGCCACTGGCCACCCAGGTACTCAACCACCTACCCATTTGCCGAACTCGTTAACCAATCGGGTGTCCCTTAATCACCAAGCCGTTACCAGGCCAATAAGCACTCCTCTCCCACACCTGCTGCACCAATGAAAACAAATGGCTACCTGGTTGATTACCTGGTTGATGGGGTTCTGGGAGTTCTTCTACTCCCCAAGCCCGGCCCGAGGCCAGGCTTGACTTGTGAGTTTGGTCCACCAGGCTGTTGCTTGGAGCGGCCCGCAGGCCCACATACCCACCACAGCCCGGTTGGTCCGGCACTCCTTGGAGGAATAAATTATGCCTCAGTAATGGCCCAGGCAGAAGAATAAGAGAACGAGGCCCTTGAGCCACGGATGGCGGGGCGAGTCGCCTCCAGAGACGGTTTTAATCCGCCGCTAGTAATGGGAGGAATGAACAGCGTGACACATGCGAGGAAATGGGGGAGAGGTACATGTATATATACATTTTGAAGGGACGCTGGTGAAGGGACGGGAGACATCTCCCGTCACGCAGGGTGCAGTCGCACCTCCACAGATCTCCAGTATCAAGAGTTGATACTGGTAATGGTTCAAAAGGGCCACCACTTATGGGCTATTCATGCCCGTGCCACTTCTTGGGTGGCTTAATCTTTATCAATCAATCGCTGGTGAAGGAGGGGGCGGGGCTATGAGCGGGCGGAAGGGTGGGGGGGGGGGGTGACCCTGGTACGTCTTGCATGTCTGGTCTCCAAGTACGCAATTGATATCTTAAGTCTTAAACCCTGAACAATCACATGCTGGCTTAATTACTTATTACCCATGGTGATGTATTATGCTCTTGTATGACCCCCCTTATTGTTTCATCTCACCTCCCTAATACATGACCCTTGACACTCCCCTTGTCTGGAGGTCACAGGCCAAGCTCGTATTATCAAAGGTTATATTTCAACACGTTTAAAGCTACTGTAACGTTTCACGACCATCACATCAGATGCCACTAAAGAATGACCAAATTATGACGATTTACGTTTCTTTCGTATTGTGTGTATAGTGAGTTTGCGAGTTGTATTATTTACACGTGCAGCCCGAGTTACGCCTGTCGTAATCTGACTGAACCATGAATGGTTGAGTTGCAAAGCTTCACGTCTGCTCCCATCTCGTTCATAACGTTCGGTCTGGTCTAGTATCTTTAAGTCTCGTTTTCTGTGTGACCTCGTTCTTTCAGGCTCGTCCCCAGTTGGTCTTTCCTGATGCTCGTCCCGTTCTGTCTTGCCGTGTATGGGTGTGTTTACTGGTTTTAGCATGTACAGGCACTAAATATTTAGTCATACTACTACTAACCAGGTTGTTGCACTCGTGTGGAGGTGATCCCCGTCCTTTAACCCTTAACTTGGTATTACACACCTCTGACGAGTACATACCATTGCCGCCACCAATACTAGCAGAACCACGGCAACCTACAAACCAGTCAATACCAGTGATTCTGTCGCCATGTACGTCACAAACGTCAGTCTCAGGCGCCATAAGCACTGCTTCCGTCTTCCCATCGACAAGTCATCCCTCAGAACACCCTCCGTCGTCAACAATCCAAGGAGAGAAATCTCCCAGCTCCCCCCCCCTTAACCTCAACTCTCCCCACCATCCTTGTATGAGGAGCATTCTACTTCCTTAACGTTATCCAACACCATATTTTAGTGCGGTAACCACGACCAAATATCCTGACAAACCAGGCTTCTGGCTTTATAGCTTACCTTCCCCTAGTCTGGTGGCGCGCCACACCACTAAACTCTTCAGCTGCACAACTTATTGATCACGCTCACGCCTGCCTGCCTGCCTGCCTGCCTGCCTACATTCCGGCCGCGGTTCGCAGCTTCCCACAGAGGACATGCAAAGCCTCCTCGCATCCCCTAAAGGCTAGAGGTTCCCGCTCATGGTGTTGGAACCCGTCACTATTAGCAGCCGTGGTTTCTCTAGTAATATAAAACATCTCTATGAATTACTTACACAATTAAGTTACACACAGTTACAATTAGTTTGGCTGGGTCGAACTAGTGCGAATATGGCTATACTCTAGAAGACAGGCGAAGTCTGAGGGGGGGGGGAGAGTACAAGCGAAAATGCAACGGGATCTTAAGTTTCATTATGATAAGTTTTAAAGAAC